AATCTTTAAAAATTTACTATAATACATAAAAGATTTTTATCAATTAAAATTTGATATACTTTAAGAGGTTACATAAGTTAGCAAACTCATATATATATATATATATATATATATATATATATTTCTATCCATTAATTGTAAAATAAGGTATTGATATTTTCTTTTTAGTTAAATAAAAAATAAATTTTTATATTAATATTATAAACAATAAAATGTAGTTCAAACATTTAAATTATATAAAGATATAAAAAAGAAAGAAAATAAGTTAAGAAACATACATAATTTTAAAATAAATAAAATAAATTTTTAAATAATTATATTTTTAATTTTATTCTATGTTTTTATAAATAAATAAACTACTAGTTACAATATTCTTCAATTTATATTTACATGTAGAACATATGTATATGTAGAATACTTTTATTAAACAAGTCAAAATAATGTAATATTAATTAAGAAAAATATATTATCTTTTAAAATTAAAGAATTAAATATGTTTTCAATTTCTTAATTTTTTTTAAAATTAGATTTTATACCTATCTTAAATTACCAATCAATTTTATTTTTAAATTTTATCAATGAACTATAATCTATAATCAGACAACATTAAATATTTGCTTATGTGTCAACAAATGCTAAAGTTGCACACGTGTCAACACAAGACATATACGTGATAACGTTGTAAATCTTTAACGTTGTCATGTTACTAAACGATTAAATCTATTCATTTATTGGGATGAAAATGATTCAACACTCAGGGACAAAATTCAATTTCACATAAAAATTAGGAGACTAAAAACATATTTAACCCACTACAAGAAAATAGGTGTTATTCAAAGCCAAAATTCATTGAAAAAGTCAAAAATCCGTTGATAATGACTTTTTTAAACGAATTTCTGGCAAGCCAAAATACATCGATAATAGTGTGTAACATTTATCAATGAAATTTTATTTTCGTTGAAGGAAAAATCTATCAGAAATTATCGAAGGAACCTTGTTGGTAAATATCATGATCTGATTCATCTTCTTCCTCCTTGCTCCTTATTCTTTCTTTTAGCTTTCCCAATCCAAAAAAATCAACACATATTTAGTCCAACTGAATCCTGCATAACTAAAACACCACTTTCATTCAACTAGAAGAGAAAACCCACAAGAAAGTTCAAAAATCATATTGAAGATTGTAATTAGAACGTATCGGAGACGATGATAGTGGAGGCTATTTCTTCCTAGGCAACAAAGTTCTTGCAACAGTGGTGTCCTCGTCACTGTGGCGGGCCAATCCAGGGCTCGCGATCGTCTCTCAATCACATGATTTGGTTGTCTGTGGCGGAGGTGAGATGACTTTTCGACATATTTTATCGATAAAAAATTTGTTCGTAATAGAAATTTAATTTATAGACAAAAAAACCATTGATAAATGAAATAAATATTATTAGCGAATTTACCTACAAATTTTACATACAAAATAAATTTATCGATAAAATTCTCCCATAATTAGAATTTCAAAAACTTACCGATAAATTTTTTCAGTGATACGAATTTACCGACACATGTATTTTTGTCGATAAAATTTCATCTATAATTTTAACAATAGTTGTAATGATCCTAATATTTTTAATCAATATGAAAATTTTTACTCATTTTAAATTCCTAAACACTCTTAATTGCGTAACATGTACAAAAGCAATTCATCTATACAAAATACAAGCAATTTGAAAAACAAAAATAGTTAGACTTAAACCATTGAATTGAATTGATAAGAAACTTATTCACTTAAATCCAAAATCAAAATGATTATTGAAATTATTTTATTTGATGTATCATGTGTCTCAAATTGGAATTGAAATCAACCACAAATATAGATGGACCTTGCTTTGCATTAGTATCCTCTCTTAACCTAAGCAAGTAGTCGATAAACTGGTCTAGTTAATAAATGTTTTTTTCTTGGTATAGTGAGCCCAAATATCTCTTCCATGTCTAACTCATCACAAGACATGCCCAATGGAAGCTCCCAATCAAAACAATGCACTAATTGAGCCAAAACAAGACTAATCGTCATTAAACCCATATGAATCCCGGGGCACACTCTTCGACCCGACCCAAATGGTAAAATCCGAAAGTCCTTTCCACGAACATCTACATTGTTATTCTCAAACCTTGTAGGGTCGAAAATTTCAACCCTATCCCAAACTTTAGGATCTCGCCCTATAGCCCAAACATTTACCATAACCCTTGTTTTTTTCTTTATCAAATAGCCATCAATGGTGACATCTTCTCGACACTCGCGAGGTACCAACAAAGGTCCGACTGGGTGTAACCTTAGTGTTTCCTTCACCACCATGTTCAAATAAGACAACTTTTCTAAGTCATTTTCCTCCACGTGTCTGTTTATTCCGACCACATGTTCTAGCTCCTATTGAAGTCTCTTCATGACAGAAGGGTGCCTTAAGAGTTGTGACATGGCCCATTCTACTGTTGTGGAAGATGTGTCAAATGCTGCACTTATCATGTCTAATATGATAGCTTTCACGTTTGTTCTATCAATGACGTCTTGAAAATCGTCGGGTTGATGCATGAGTGACAGCAAAATATCCACAAAGTCCATCTTGCGATTCTTATTTTCGTCATATGGATTACTTTCGTGTTCTTGGATTATTTGTTCCAATAGCTCATCAAACGACTTTGCTGTTTTCTTTAATCTTTTTGTTATTCCCTGCACGATTGTTGCGTGTATAAGGGATAAATAAACCTTAATATCATTCTTTCTAAAACACATTAATTAATTTATTTTATTATAGTATACTAAAATAATAATTTATGTAGTTGTAAATTAGAGTATAGAAAAAGAAAAGGATAGGTGTGAATTAATCATGATTTATACCAAAGTTTAATAGCTTTAATGATTATATTATCTTAAAACTGAATTGTCAAATGGTTAGTGAAACATAAAAAGATAATTTCTCAAATGTTTCATGTGTGTAAAACAAAAGTGACAGCACATATAATTTTATATCCAATAAATTTTTACATTCACTTTATATTTATTATTTTATTTTTTATGTTTTACAAATGCAATAAATTGGTTGGTTGTAGGTGGGTGAAAAGATATTGCCAATAATGTCTTTTGTACGGATATGACCGACAAATGTTTTGGTTTGTTTATTTATGAAGTTAGATCATTTCATTTAATAATAATAAATATGGCAAAAGTTAAATAAACACTAGCATGAACAAGGTATAATTTTTTTTTGTGAACTACATTAGACAAAATATATATGAAAAACTAACTAGAGCAGTAAACACAAATAATAATATTTTCTATAAGAATTAAATCACATGCTTAATGCTTCTGGTAATAAACATAAATGATAAATGTAATAAATGAAAACGGTTTAAAGTTTGTATTAAAATGCACAAAAGAAAATTCTCTCTACACCAATTAATATATTCTAATAATATATATTAAAATATATTCTAATAACATTTAAATGTGGTGGATTGTACTAGAACAAGTGATTCAATTTGTGGTGGAGTTTGCAGTAGAACATGTGATTCAATTTATTATGGTGCTATTTGTTGTGGTATTATTTTGTGTTGGGAATATATTTTTTTCTTTAAAAATCTATATGTTTTTAGTAATGGGAGTCTGATTTTTTAGCTAGTATATCTCTTTTAAAGAATATAATTATTATTGTTAATAATTTGCAAGATTTACAATACTAAACTTATTTAGGAAATACTTTCTAACTATTTGATGTCTAACAAAATTTAATATTTAAAAAAAGTTAAAATTAACTTTTAAGTGGACTAATATGAAAAAGAAAATTAATATAGAAGAGAATGATAAACCAATTTAAAACTATAAAAAAAAAGTTCGACAAAGATAAGTTAGAAAAAGTTAATCCTAAATTCTTCAAAAACAACCGTTTTTATTATCTTTATTATTGTTTTGACATAATTTTTATATAATGGATTTTTTTTTCTGTCTATAATATAATTTTATCAATGAATTTTGTGTAATTTATCATATTTTTCTTTTTTTCTCTTTTTATATTTTAATTTTTTAATATCATTTTAAGAATAATGTTTAATACAAACTTGTTTTTGAAAAATAAATATATTTTGTTTTATAAAAGTATAAATGTTTTATAGTTGATAGGTGGGACAAAGACAAAATACATGAAAGGAAAGACACGGTTGAACTTTTTTTGTAAAACATGGATGATAAGGATAGGAAATATAATAATAATAAAGAAAAAAAAATAGGAATTTGTATTTGTAGTGGTTGTAAGTGATCGGTGAAGGATTGCAGGAAGTCCTCGATACTATCGTCTGTATATATCCACCACAAAACAAAACTCCACATGAGTTGTTTCGTGCAGTGCTGAATCATAGGTTAACACATTTTTTAAAATATTTTGGTACATGTATTATTTTTTTATTGATAGAGAATATAATAAATAAATAATAAACTAATGAAAAATATTTAATATATAATTAATTAATATCTTATGATACGAAAACTGATTATTTTATATATTTATTGCACCACTTCATCATATGTTATGAAAATTGAATGCAAGATATGGATGGGATTGAATTTGATACCTGAGGATCAAACACGCCTAGCCAGGGCATGTAATCTGCAAGATTGAATAATCCAATCAAGTTCATCACTTCGTGAATGAGCAACTTTAAGTCAAATCTATCATCTTTGGCACGCCCCAACACCATTTTGAACACGATGTTCTCCATAAGCTCTCCCAGCAACTGACTCAGATCAACAACCTCACCGGATTCTGCAGAATTTTTCAGCGACTTCACCAACACTCCCAGCTCTTGTCTTCTCAGAGGAGCAAACATCTCAACCTTTGAGGCACTCAGAAGCTGCAGAGTGCACAGTTTCCTGGCGTTGCGCCAGTATGCACCGTACTCAGAAAAGGCCATACCTTTGCTGCCATAAGAAAGAAATTCTGTGGCTTGGGTTTTGGGTCTGCTGGCAAAAACAATGTCATGGGTTTTCAGGAAC